CTTTAATAACATAAAGTTACCTAATTTTTAAAGTGCAATCAGTAATACTTTTATAACAAATTTATATCAGGTGTCATGTCAGTCTTATTCAACCCCCTTCAAATAAAGTGTTACCCATTTTCCTTCCACATTGTGGTTATGCGCTTCCTTATTTCGGTCTTTCACATAAAAACACAATTAAATACATTGAAATATGAGGTTTTAATGTGAAAAAATATGAAAAAATGTATGAAATAGTCTTGCAAGGAATTGTTTGTTTAAACCCTTTTGTGACTTTTCCTGTGTCTAGTATCCTGTGGCAGTGGCGTATTTGATGAGCTGGAAGGACACTTGATGAGTCCGGGTTATCCGAATCCCTCGCCAGATGCTTTGTCCTGTCAGTATATCATTTCTGTGGAGTCTGGCTTCACTCTCTCCCTTAACTTCTCTGACAAATTTCACATTGAGAGTGTGGACACAGAGGAAGGCCTAAACTGTCCCCATCACTGGTTGGAGGTAACATGAATCAGCTTTAGCCAGCTGTAGTAAGATTAATAGAAGTAAAACTACAAAATGTAAATATTTGCTCAGTTAACCTTTGAGCATTTCTATCTGTAAGGTGATCATCCCAGGCAGAAATCCCATGAAGCTGTGTGGGGGAACAAGTCCAGGATTAATAAATACAAACTCAAACATTGTCAAGCTGGACTACAACATTGATAATCAGGGACAAAGCAATGGATGGAGCCTGGACTACAGCACACACAGTGAGGGGGTGAAACGACATTAGAAAATTAAGAGCATCTGAAGGTGGAACATGCAGCTGATTATGTTCCTCATGTGTTTAGGAGTGACGTGTCCAGTTCCTGGACAAGTCGCTAAAGGAAAGGTCACCCCTTCCTTAACTGAGTACTTCTACAGAGATTATATTTTTGTGCGCTGTGATGAAGGATACAAACTAATGATGGCAAGTTTAAGCACTTTTTAAAATAAAAATTTAAACACCACAATGTTTCAATGTAATGTGTGTCCCTTTCTTCTTGGTCAGGATGGTGTGGAGTTAATGGGTTTCTCTACCATGTGCCAAAGCAACGGAGAGTGGCACCTCCCACTGCCTGAATGCCACAGTACGTTATGAACGTGCGAATAATCAGGACAAATGTTTTGCTGACAAATGTTGAATCTTTTTTTCTTTCTCTGCCATAGTAATTGATTGTGGAGAACCTGAACCTCTGCTGAATGGAGGAGTTAACTTCTTGTCTGGCTTCCAGAACCAATATCTTTCTGTTGTTCAGTATCATTGCAATGAACCATTTTATTCACCATATGGTGGCAATAATGGTAAGATTTTACTATACAGTTGTAATTTACTGATATAGATGCTTCCAATAAGCTTCCAGTGCTGGTAAAATGGTAAATAGCCTGTGCTTGTATAGCCCTTTGTGAGCCCTGCGAAACACTTCACACAGTATTCAGTAATTCACGCACCTTGTGGTGGTACGCTACATTGCTGACCCAACAGACAGAAGCAAGGCTGCCATGCATCGACACCAACAGGCCCTCTGAAAGACATTTTGCATGCATTTAGGTCAAAGTCAACCTGTATTTATGAATATTAATGTAAATTACAGCCAGAATCTTTCAGGATTTTGAAAGACCGGAGCTATATTTGCAGGTTGGAAGAGGAAAAAATGCCACATGCATTGGTTAAAAAAAAAAAAACAACTTAAAATGTCTGTCACAAAGTAATGGGTGACAGACATTAGAAACTTTCAGGCGCAAACAGTAACCAATAATTCTCAGTCTTTTTAACACCAAAGATGGATATAACACATAACATTCTATTCTTTGTAGTTTCTCTCACCTGTGAAGCGGATAGACGGTGGAGATCCAACCATGATGTTATTTTAAGACCAGCATGCCTACCAGGTATCACTTTTGGTCTCTTAAAACATCAGAGTCCATCTTGACATCTCTATGTCTTCTCTATAACTATAAATTTATATCCTATGCAGTTTGTGGTCGACCAACAAAACAAAATGAAAATCACTTTCAGAGGATTATTGGAGGAAATGATGCTGGAGAGCATACCATCCCATGGCAAGCTTTCATAAATGTAGGTAACAGCAGGGGAGGAGGCATGATCATAGCAGATCGCTGGATTTTAACTGCAGCTCACGTGGTTGTGATGAATGGACAAGTACAAACTCCTGAGGCCTTTTCTGTAAGTAACACTCTGTAATCTTCTGGGATTGTCCACTGACATGTTTTTAAAAAAAACTTTTTTTCTTTTGTGTTTTTTATAGATTCATTTTGGACGTACAGATGTTCACCAAATTTTAGAAACTCCTTCCCTGAATGCAACTGCAGTCCATGTCCACCCTCAGTACAATAATCCAAACGGTTTAAACTATGACCACGACATTGCATTGATAAAACTTAAAGACCCGGTCACATTCGAAGCAGCAATAATGCCACTGTGTTTGCCATCAGAGGATGACAGATATGACTCTGGAATGATTGGGTAAAGAAACAGTAGGCCTTCAAAATAATTTCAATATCAAATCTCTTTTACATAACTGATCCTTTGTTCTGTGAACCTTTTGCTTTTTTCAGGCTGGTATCTGGTTTTGGCATTACAGACAAGGGGAATCAGCGGCGTTTTCTAACAAATAAGCTGAAGTATGTGCATATTCCAGTGGTGGAACAGGAAAGATGCAGTAATTCTTTGAAGCTAATACCTAGAAGCCGGAAACCAATAGTGACAGACAACATGTTCTGTGCTGGAACTCCTGAAGGCGGGAAGGACTCTTGCCAAGGTGACAGTGGGAGTGGCTTCACTCTGCAATCTGAAGATGGACGATTCTGGGCTGCTGGGATTGTCAGCTGGGGGATTAATTGTGGACAGAAAGGAACATATGGATTTTATACCAAAGTGGCAAACTATGTAGACTGGATTAACAAGATCATGCGGGAAAATTGAAAGCATTCAAACATTGAAGCTTCATAGAAGCATTTAAGCACAACAACAACTTAAGCTATATACACAGAGAAAAAATAACATGTGGTGAACTAAATTTAACATAAATGAATCTGTGAACTCAACAGTAAAAAATTAAATTAGTATCTTTACAGTATCTTTATGCAGTATTGAAGACAAAAATGTTTGTTTTCAGGTAAAATTGTTTTCAGAAAATAAATTGCTGAAGTACTAGGAGCCTTTCTCTTTAAATTCATCACACAACAATAAACAATCTTGTTATCTTTACTGTGTTCAAAACATCAAATACTACCCATCAGGCATCAGAGTTTGCAAGCACCAAAAGACCAGCGGTGATTTGAAGTACACTGATAAAAATATTTTGCTCTGTCTACTTAAAAAATGAAGTTATGAAGTTAATGTTCAGGACATCCCCAGATGTTACTCTAGTGAAGCAAACCTGTAAACCAAAGATAAAGTTTTGAACATTTGTGCAACTGATTTCTGTGTTGAAAAATAAAATATGGACTGATGACCATGCTTTTTTATGGATGTAGGTTAATAAAAAAAAAAATCTTGGTGGTGATGCAGGCAGAAAAAGTAAATTTGATGAGAATAACATTTCAGCAAAACAATATTGTTTACCATGGCAAAGTCTACACCAAATACCTTATTTGCGTATAACTTATAATGTCAAGATGTGTTCGCTATTTAGTTTAAGTACAACTAAACAAAATTTATCACGTTGTAGGTTTGGAATACTTAAATTGCACTCTTTTGTTTTTGCATGGCTTTAGCTCTTTATCCTACAGATAGCAAATAACTGTAGCTCTCAGAAGAAGAGCTACAGAAGAGCGGACAAGCTGAAATATAAGCAATAGTGCTGCAGCTTCTGCACAATAAAAGTTAAAAAACTATATTGAAAATCAATAAACTGAAGAAGCTGACAAGTAACCAATGTTTTCAGTTTTAAAAAGTTAAGAATGTGTAAAGTTTAAAAACTCACACCGCAGTGAATCATTTGCACTTTTTAGTTTTGATTAAATGTTACTGATTTATTTAATAAACTGAACTTGGAGATTGACAATCAGGTCATACAATGGTTTGTACAGATATATTATTAGATATTACTAGATTCACATTAGTCTTTCACTTCAGGGGAGGGAAGGGCAATGGGGAGTTGTGAAAAAAATAATGAAATAATTGAGAAACATTGCTCTAAGTTAAGGTATGTATGTAAATAAACTAAATATAAAATATACACACACACTCATACACGTTTCCCCTCTGGCTCCACCTTTGGGGGCGCCACTGAGTTCATGTAAAAATCGTTTGGTCTTCATAGGTTTAGTCCTTTTAACTGAAGGACGACCCATAACCACTGTTACCATAGTAACCCATGACTCGAATTCCGCTAGTTTCTGATTGGTCGAGCCTCTGAGTCTACTTTCACATTTAGTGACATGTTTTCGCATTCTGCGCATGCTCAAGGTAGAACATCTAAACGCACATACGTTCCTACCGAAAGACTTTATTTCTATTTTTTATTACCGGTAATAATATCTCGTTAATGAATATCACAGATGGGGCGAAGAGGGAGTTACAAATCTCTCTCGTATTCAAAGAAGGGACCATCGTTATGACGCGTGTGTAGCTTTTTGAAATCAAAAGTGAAAGTGCTGTTGTGCATTATTCTTTTATTCCATTTTTAATAAAACAAGGATCTTCTGCTCCTTGAAGATGATTGAAGTAATATTTATCGGATGGTTTTTGACGTTCGTTAATGGTAAGACATATTCGTATTTTAACAAATGATTGTAAATAGCAATAAGCAAACTTTTTCTTGAATCTGCTCACAGGTTTTTCCTCGTCATTAGCATTTTATTGGGCATCCCTAACTTTAAAACGATGCTATTTTTGTTTAAATGTGTTATAAGAAACTAATTTCATTACGGAAGTGAACTCAGCAAAGAGATCGATCATAACAAAAAGTGTGTTAAAAGAATTAGAATCCAAAATATTCTGTGCATACTGAACAGAACAATTTGTTTACACACTGATCAGGGAGTAAGACAGGCGAATATCTTCTTGGCACATGTCATGTTAGTGGGTAGAATATATTTGACATCAAATGAAGATTTTATCCTCCGGGTTGATGTATTGAAAGCAGAAAAAATGTTCAAACAGAAGGATTTTGATGAGGATCAGGTTGTCTTTAAATTAGAGTCAATCAAACTGCAGCTCTTGTTGGGTTGTTTCCAGTCTGCAAATGTTAAAAGAGTGGATAAATATATAAATATGGAGCACAAAAGTGGTCCAAAACTTGTATTTGGAGGCTGGTCAACAATATGTTATCAGGTCAACACTTTAGACAGATAGTCTGAGTGCTTGTTCGTCACTTTCCAGGGGAACATTTTGCACCAGGACACATTATGGGAAGAATGTGGGTGGCTGAGGCAGTGAGATGTTCTGGAGAATCTGATGGAAAACTTTGGGTCCTGTTATCCACTTTGACATGTACAATCTGACTAAGCAGAGTTGCAAACCATTTATTTTTTAATGGACCAGTTGCAAGGTGTCATGCTGTGTCCCAAAGCTAACCTGGGTTAGAAACATTTCTAAGGGAACAAAAAACGTTTGAGATGATGGTGAGACGACCCAAAATTTCAATACAGTGAAACATCTTAAGTAAATCCTGCGTTGAGCCCCATCCCTGCAGCTTACATAACCTAAAGACGCCACAGGACTCCAGTGGAGGTCATATTGTGATGGTTTTGGAGTGGCTTTGCAAAATATTTATTTTCTTTAAGCTGCAGTATGTAACTTTTACAGAATTATGTTTTTTAAAACTGACACCATCTTCTGACAGTAAAATATGAGACATGTAATCTGGGAAAACATCAAGTTCCATGTGCTTCTATTGGCGTTTGAATAAATGCACCACTCCCAGTTAAAAACAACCAGTCAGAACCAGTAGGAGGGTTTTTACGCTGTCAATTAATCTCATGTATTTGCTACTAAATGTACTAATGGCGAAAAAACAAATGAAACCATTTTTCCACCGTGCTACCTGCCATGCTAACTAGCCTTAGCATTCGTTGCAGGCTATGTTGAGGTAAATCAGCTGCAGCGTAGCAAAGAGCAAGGGGAGATGGGTGTGCATGAGAGATGAGAGTGATTGACAGCGCTAAAATCGCCCTCCTGGCTCTGATTGGTTGTTTCTGACTGAATGGCGTATTTCTGCAGTTAAAACTGGGAGTACTGGGAGAAGGCAGAGGAACTCGATATTTTCACAAATTATCTGTCACGACATGGTGATAATTTCAACAAATATGTGAAGTTACACTAAACAATACGCTACATGAAAACTGAAAAGCGTATGAGCTTCAAAGTTGTTTTTTATGTTTGTCTGCAGCTGATGGGGTTGCAGACGTCGTTCTTTCCTGCTCTCTGGTGGAGGAGGGAGTCGGAATGGGTGGAATGGGAGGCGGCTCTCTCTTCAGCCGAACTCCAGCCACGCTCGTCCTTCGAGACGTCCCAGTGGGACCCGATGAATCCCTTGACACACTGACTCCATTTGTCCCGCCCTCAGTCCCTGATCCAGACCTCATCCTGTTTGAGAACAAAGGTGTCCGTTTATTATCGACACATCTCAACCTCAGTCTCTGTAAAATCTGCTCAGTTTGTGTTCAAAGTTTCTTGTTCCTTCCTTCCAGTGTCATCGCCTGACATCCCCAACGCAGGCATGTTGCTCCATGCAGACTGCAATGAGCAGGAGGTGATGTGTGAAATAAGTCGCTACACTCCTCGAGGACTTCAGGAAAGCTCTGATCCAGCATATTTCATGGTTTCCCTCAGCGTGGAGGGACTCGACTTCAGCACATCGCTCATTCTTCAAACATTACCAGTTGACAAAGATCAGACCACCTTGACACAAAGCAAACTCAGTTTACCTCTCAGCCAGTCAGGAACTCTGCTGACTAAAGGTAAAACACAAAGTTCAGGGGCTGCATCTAATAAGAAAAAAAAAATCTTCTTCACAACATTTTCCCTGCTTTCTTTACCTCTTTGTGTCACAGTGATATTCCTGGTGTTTTCCGACATAAATTCTGTATCTGCTCCTCTGAGAGGAGATGTTCTCCTCAACTGCGGCTTCAAGCAGGAGGAGACGCCGTTAGCACCAGAAGTGGGCCTGGAATGGCGTCTGCAGCACAGAGGGAGAGGCAGGAAAGTTCTCGAAACGAAGACAAAGCTGGACGACACAGAAGAGGCCACTGTAGGTGAGTACTAACAAGAATAAACAACAGAGTAAACGGGCCACATAAGGGATTTGTTTATAAAAACTTTATCATAAAGGGTGTCAATAACAAAACTAGTGAGATGAAGATGAGCTAATTAGTGAAATATGGAGGATTCTATATTTATGAGGTTTTTTTAATGTACTTTATTGAAACAATAATATCTCTGTGTTTAATACTTCTTTTGTTTTTATGCAAATGCTTTTTAAAGGTTTTATTAGATATTATATATAGGAGCACAGATTGCATAGATGTAACTCGCTGACAACTCACCATGTCACATTAACATGAGGTTTTACTCAACAGATTTTACAGTGAGTGTTGTAGAAATGACTTTATATCAAGAAGGCGTAATTAACTGCATGTTGCCTTGCCGGTCTGTGCTCTGAAATCAGTCCACTGCTTCTAGAAACATTATCATTCATAAATCTTAAAAGTTTTCTGATATGCATGCAGTTTTTAATGTGGTGAAGCAGCATATTGCATCTACATGAATGTTTATTACTAAAACTTCACACAACTTTTCACAAAGGCAAAAAATGTTAAAAGACTTCTAGAAACTTATTTAGACTCACAGGATAATATTGAACTCATCTTAAAGCTTTTACTTTCAATAGAAATGCAAAATAACGCCAATAAATGAATAAATGAATATTGTATAAAGGTATAACAAATAAATTCTGTAAAATTGTCATTATGAAAAAAAAAACATTCATAATTACACAGCAAAGGAAGGATCTGGGAGTTTTGAGGACAAAAACGTTATTCAGATTTACAATAAGACATTTATTTCCACCTAAATCTCCAGATCCGAGTTTGTCCCCTTAACGTTGATATGATAACTTTGGATAAAGTTGTCATTTCTGTCTGATTTTCTGTGCTCAGTTCAAGGCGAGAGGAACGGCTCCAGTGTGGACGCTGCTCTGCTCCTCAGTGAGGGAAACGTCTCCATGAGTCTGACTCGGCTGAAGGTCGTCGATGAAGGAACCTACATCTGCACCGTCAACCTGGGACATTTCCACGCCCAGCAGGTCATCCAGCTCCATATCATTCGTAAGTTTTTCCTCTATTCTGATCTTACTGTTATTTCAGGCATACATTAAAGTCGATCTTTTGGTTATTTTTTTTAATAACTTTTCCCTCTTTTTGATTTTCTTCCCAGAACTGCCGCAGGTTTCTCTGTCAGAGGAGAAGCTGGTTCTGAATAAAAATTCTCCACAAACACTGAGCTGCCATTGTGCTAAATACTATCCATTAGATGTACAGGTCAGTAACTCTGTTTCTAGATGTAATTATTTAATTTGGTTAATTCGGACCCTTTGAAATAACCCGCAAAAAACCCCTAGAGTTTCCTTTTATCAGAGAGATAATAATTACATGTATTAGAATGAAGTAATAAAAGCTCAATTTTAATTTTCTTTTTGCTGTTGAAAGATTTATTTATCTGAGTGTTGTGTGTTGTTTTAACAGCACACAACACATTTGGGATTATAAACCAAAGCTGCTATTTCTCCCAAGCTCAAAACACAGAAAAATCTCACAAATAAATTCCTAATTATTGGACAAAACTCCTACACAGAGATGATGCTACAACTTAATTTAACCTTTCACTGACTGCACCAGTGTCAGGCAAAGCAAACAATGTTTCACATTGAAATCTGTGGACAAATTATTTTAAGTGTGCAGTATTTTTACGTTAGGGAAAATAGAAGTTCTGAATATATTACTTGCATTTTTAAAAAACTAACAAATATTTTTTAATGTGGGATTTCTTTAATCCAGAGAATAAATGTAAACATTTTAAAGGTCAGATTTTTTTTAATTTTAATTTTTTAGTGAGAGTTGCTGCAATAAAAATGCATTCATTTAAAAGCTTGTTGCTAATTAGTTGGTAATAATTAGTTGTGTTTTGATCTCAATTAGACTTGGATGGAAGTATGGCGCCCCCTTGTGTTCCTCATCATGAATTTACCCAAAAAACATTTTTTTGTGGATAAAAAAAACTAATCCTCATACTTCCAATGAAACCAATCTTTTTTTGTTTCCACTTCAAAATAAACATTTAAGTATTTTGTCCTAAAAAATTGCTTCCTTAAAAAGTTTGTCATATAAACTGACTTGGCAGCGATAAGATGATGGTTTTTGTTAGCAGATACTGAAGAATAAAAACACTTCATTATCTTCCAAAAGACCTTCTTTGAAATACATTGATTTTTCTTCACCACAAGCAGTTTTATGTTTTATAGATCAAGAAAAAAAAACACTTTATTTTCAAATGCACAACTACTAAAAATGCAGAATCCTCTTCATTCAGTAGTTTGTTGCATTTTGTTCTTCAAAGATCGGTTGCCTGATTACAGGTCATAATTTTCTGCTCTTTATTCCTTGCTTTTCAGATGGAGTGGTTTTTCCTTCCTCCAACTGAAACGGAGCCAAAACTCTTTCCGAACCAGGGTTCTCTGAGCAGTCATCGGCAGCACGGGGACGGGACGTTTACCCTGTCCTCTCATGTGACCATTGACCCGAGTTTTTCTCCAGGAACCAAGATCACCTGCAGGGTGACCCACCCAGCTCTGGACGATCCGCTCCACATCAGTATAGTACTCGAAAGCCCCCAACCAGGTATGTTTCTTTGTCAAATAAACGTTTGAACAAAGTGTTTTCATTACCTTGTTAATCTAAGGATGAAAAAAATGAAATAAACTAAGTAAAAACAGAAGCATAAAACAATTGTCAGATTTCTCCGACAGGCTGTTCGGATTGTTTTAGTGCAAGAAAAAACTAACAAACCTTCTCTCCAAGATAAACACTTGACTTTTTTGATCATATTTCCAAAGAATCAAACTTTATATCTCAGTAAATTTCCACCTAATTCAATAACATTGATTAGAGCTTTTGTATTTTTGCACATTTGTCTCCTGTCATTAAAACAATCCTTACTGTTGTGTGTTTTCTCTCTCTACAGATTCCTACTGGTGGGTTCTCGGGTTCCTCGTTGTCACTGTTCTCTTCTTCTATCAGGTCATGAAATAAGTGACTCTCTGGTCATCTTAACTTGAAGCTGAGCCTTGAATGATTTATTTTTCTGTAAAGGTAAACATTTTCAGGTCTCATAGCTGTTGTCTGCTGAATTTGAAGTATTTTACTTGTGGGAAACATTCATTTATTATGATTTGCATCCAGTTGCTGTATGGTTTCTATTGTTTTCTTATTTGCACTAAGCAACCTTGGATCTTGAATTTCCTTTTGCCGTGATATATGGATAATCTCAGCAGGAAAAACACATTTTCTCAGAGATGAACCACTGAAGTTTCATTATCTCTGTCTGACCAGAAGACCAATCTGAATCTCAAAAATAGTTTTCCAATCAGCACAAATAATCGGACCTTTCACGTCTCTCCTGGGGTTAAACTTAAACTTCATATCTGCATAAATTCAACAAAAACAGCAGTCTACAATAAGTCTCTTTAAAATGAAGTGGTTTTAACGGCAACCTTTAAAATCCTGTATGTCTTTAAGGTTTCTTTTGGTTTTGGTTTTAAGCCCCATTGTGGCATTGCTCTATAAATTATTCATACTTTTGACCGAAATAGATTTAAAGTAATTTTCATTCAACCAAGTAGCTTATTTATTTGTATAAGGCTGTGAATCGGTAGCTTTATTTAAAGTCAGTGAGTAAACATTTACTTATGAACCACAAAGTGCTAAAAGTATCAGGATTGACGCCACTTCATTTGAGTTTCAAACACTGTGGGAACAAAATACGTTAATTACAAGCAGAAGGAAGATGCGGTACAAACTGAGGAAATACTGGATTTTTTTATTTACAACTTTTCTTTGCACTTCAGGAGGAATTAATGGAGGAATTGCGGTTCTTCCACTATGATGGTGTGGTTTCAAATACTGCAGCTGTTTATTCTTTTTCTGTCTTTTTGTTTGTCCAACACTGACTTTTCACTTTATTTTGTCTTTTAAAATAAAGCTTTTATGACTCAACATTGATGAGGGCGTTTGTCCCTATCAAGAGTTTTTTTTTTTTTTTTTTTAGTTTGTTTTACAACTTGAATTCAAAGTTGTGGTTGAGCATGAAAGTAGATTAAAATAATTTACTGAGAGACAAAAACACTTCACTTGCTAATTTACTCATTTTGGAAAAAATATTTGTAGTTATCGGTCGACTACTAATTACTACTTCAGGTACTATTAGGAGCTGCTCTTGAGCACTGCAAACATTAATACTGAACATAATCACTGTGTCCAAGCTTTATGGATTTATACTAGGCTGGAACTCGCTGATCAGTTTTCAGCTTTTTCTCACTGACTTCACATGTGAATCCTGATCAGTGATTTTTAGCCTTTCCTGTGTTTAGAAGAATCATGAGGAGAGTCAGAAAACAGTTTGATGGAGTTCAGTTCATGATTTATTTATTGGCATCAGCAAAAGTGGTAAACATGCATTTGATTTTTTGTTGTTGTTGCAAAATTCAGTTGCATCTCTCACCCTGTGTTCAATTCACAAAACATAATCTCTTCTCTATTCACCGGTTAATATTGTTGCACAATATCAGCAGATAATTAGAGCTTAGTGCTACAGTTATGCATTACTCCATTGTTCTCATGAATCTCTTTGTATTATTTTACTCTTTTCACAACTTTCAAAATCAGTTCAGAGAAAGGAAAATGAGTTCCATGGACAACCAACAATCTCTTAAAACCTAAAGGAATCTATATAAACACATTTTCAGGAGCTTAAACTTGTATGTATCTACAGTGGCTCTCCTATATTATCTCTACGTGATTCCTAAAATGATTTACTACAGTAGCGGTTGGTTGCAGTCCTTGAGGATTATGTTTTTTTTTCCCTGTTCAAAGCAAGTGACACATTTTGGCAAACTCATGAGCATTGTTGCACATTGCATAAGCAGTAAGTATCTGATCAGAAAGACATTATACACAGGTCCTTGAAACCACTAAGGAAAGAAAATATACAATCGGCAGTAAGATTAAGAAATGGCAGATACACAGGTCACACGAATATGGATACTGTTTGCCATGCAGGTTAGAAACGAATGCCTCTTATTGGCTGTTATCGTACTGCAGGTGACAGATGAGTCTGGTTTTATGTGCGTGAAGGGGGGGGGGGAGGCAGCCTGGCGGCTCTGGGGGATCCTCATCCTGTCCTCTCTCATTCTCCTGCGCTCTAAAAACAACAAACGCTCCAACAGAAGGTTGCTCAAAATGCGACGCTACACATTCATCTGTCTGTGGTTGCGACTCTGTCCATTCAGAGAGGAGAGGCCTTCCTCGGGTCCTTCAGGCGTGCAGATTGTCTGTCAGTAGCTGCTTCATGTGCCTTTCTGCGTACATGACTCTATTACCATCACCTAAGATAGAAAAATCCCAAAACTGACTCATTGCTTTCTGCCTGGAGGTTATGACTCAGGTTGCATGTATTTATGCAGGAAAATATGCTGCTAAACTCCTACTTCTTTTTCCTGAATCACCTCTTTTTGGCTTAACGTTTCACACAGACTTTTTTCCCCCTTTTTTGCATTTCTCCTTTCTTATCATCCCTGCAGAAGTTTGAGACTTCTGTGAGAGAAAGTTGAACAGGAAATGGAATAAATTACTGGTGAAATCCTATTGGGTAAAAGATGCAGAGTGGCGGGTCACAATTGCACACGTGAAAAAACAACAGAAATGATTCGACTCCTAAGCTAACGTGTTAGTAATAAGCGTTATGATGAAGGGAGGGTATTAGTTTGGCATGTTGGTATCAATGTCCAAATGTAGGTCTCTTTAAAACAAAAAAATTCATGGTCAAGCGATGGCTGGAGTAGAAAGACTGCAAACTGTTGTTCAATCTCCACTTATGTTTCTCTGAGCTCTGTTTGCTTTCTCCCGTCTTCTTTCTTTTGCTCCTCCCTGTTTCCGTCCGCCCGCTGCAGCCTTCTATAATACATGAGGTGCAGAGACTGGAGAGAGTGAGTGAGACCTCATGGAGGAAGACTGAGAGAAAGCAGCAAGAAAGAAGGTGGGGAGAGGGGCACGGAGAGAGCAGAAACACATACGCAGGAACACGACAGTTGGGGTGCAGGATGGTTCAATGGAAGTTTGTGTGAAGAGGAGGAAGGCTGATAGAAGGGAGGAGTGGCGCTTCATTTTTTCCTCTCCCCTGTAACGGTATCCTTAGGTTTGAGTTCATCTGTGATGATGGGAGGCGCTCAGTAGAAGAAGTACACTGCGAATGAAGGATAAAGAGGCAGCCATTAGTCTAGTGGATAATAAAGCAGGGAAACAAAATAAGGTGAAGAAGCATTAATTAAAATAATTTATCTTCAAAAGTTCAGTCACATCAGCTCCAGTACGGTAACTTATATTATCTGTTGTTGCACACTGCAGTAATCTGGATTTCATGTGAGAGACCAGCGCAGAGTGAACATACATACATACATACATACATACATACATACATACATACATACATACATACATACATACATACATACATACATACA